TTGCGTATCGCTTTACAGTAGCGTATCGGTAGCATTTCATTCCGACTCGATACACAACGCGCGCCTCGCGCTTGTGCAAATGCAGCGTTATTACCTTGACAGGTATTAGCCGCCGGCGCTCACACATCTTGAACGGCGGATTTATCTGCCGTTTGCGCCACGGTAATATTTACGTTCTCATTGACGCTTATGACGGGCTCTTACGCGCGCTCAGAACGATCGCATTCTACGGGCGATCGCGGAAATTCATGCGAACTTAGGCCGACGTTGAATGCCACGCGCGTGGAATACGCGGAATAGAATGCCACGAGAATTCTTGAGAGGCGGGATACGTCCGACGATTGGATAATTTCGCATTTTCCGCATTTGCATTACGCGAATCGTTAAACGAGTCGTTGAGCGTACAATAAAATCCAGCTTATCTTTCCGCGAGCCTCTCCCGCATCTTTCCGCGATGAAAACGTGGAATTTAGCAATGCCGAGTATATTATTAAATAATTACAAGCGGAAAATTTAGTTACAGCTTCTTTTTTTGCTTCTTTTACATAACTTCCCCTCATGAAACATGTATCACTCTTCGTCAATCGCTCAATTCAGTCAATCGCAGGCTTTTAACGGAAACCAATACCGACGCGGAAATGATTTTATCGCGACGCTCGTCGTCGACAGATTCTGGATTCTTTCCTTATATCGGCAATCTTGTACGAAACGGCGTTCCTCTATGTATATTTGATGTGTCGCTGATGGAGTCCATTACACAGCGAGGAGCAGACTTTGAACTCTCTTTTTCCATTCCAGTTCCGAGGTCGGTGTTACGGGAGCAATACGAGGGCGAGGTTGAGGCGGACGAGTTGGAGATGACGCATGAGTTCGAGGAGGGATTCGACAGAGCAGACTTCAGAGCTGAATTCAGCCCCAGCCCAAATCTCGAAGGACCACAACCGCCACTACGGGATAATGTCTCTAGAAATTTTCCGACCGTTAGCTCCTCTCCGCCTCGAGCACGAACCAACAACGGCGGTAAGTTCCGCCTTTGCTTTTTCG